CCGGCTCGGCCCCGCTCTACGTCGCGGCCCTGCCGCCCCGTCCGTCGCCGCCCGTGGCGCCTGCCCGCTCGCCCCGCTCTACGTCGCGGCCCCGCCCCGGCCCGTCGCCGCCCCTGCGCCTGCCCGCTCGGCCCCGCCCTACCTTCGCGGCCCCGCCCAACGTTGCGGCCCCGCCCTATGTCGCGGCCCCGCCCTACGTCGCGGCCCCCGCCCTATGTCGCGGCCCCGCCCCGACCGTCGCGGCCACCGCCCTCGTCGCGGCAGCCGCCCCCCCCCCCCCCCCCCCTTTCTCCCCTCCCCCCCATTTCCGTCGTCCGTCGAGGCGACCCGAGGGGCGAGCTGTGGGGTGGCGGGTATGGGGGTGGTCGGTGTGCCTTCCTCCCTTTCTCCTCCTCCTCCTTCGTCTCCCACTGCTGCAGCTGTCGCTGAGGGGGGTGGTTGTGTGGGAGACTGGGTTTAGGGTTTAAGGGGGGTGCGTGGGAGTAGAGCTAGTGGTGTAGCAGTGGGTGTGTATTAGGGGGGTGGGACTGTGTGTGGGAGGATGAGCGGAGGTTGCCAGTTTGTCGTCAGCAGCACCTGTAGTCCGGGGCGCTGTCCCGGTAGCCCAGTCGTAGCCAGCTGTGCCAGCCGCCCGTGGGTCGTTGCCCGTCCGCCGCTATTTGAGCCGCGGGGCCTGTTACTCCTGTAGTCCCGGGCGCTGTCCGGTAGCCGCTGTGCCAGTCTGCCTCCTGTTGCCCGTGTGTCTGCAGCTTCAGCCGTCGCCTCCTGTCTCCTCTCCCCTCACTCTCCCTCCTCCTCCTCACTTGCCCGTTGTGACTACCACTACCTTTGCTTATAATTGTGAACTCTAAACTATTTCTTCTTGAACTTGTGCTCAGAATGTGTGGTGACATTGTGATCCACCCTGAGCTTGTTTTGCTTTGCCTGCTCTGCTGATTACACCCCACTTTGGCTATGGGGGTGTGTCAGAATATTATCTTATTGTTCTAGCCTGTAGTGGGGTGCTCTATAGCGAGTACAACCCTTCTAGGGTTTGCTATTTGTATCCTCATTCTTGCTAGTTCAATCCTCTTCTTTCTTCAAACTTGACAGTGTCAAGCTTCGGGTTATAGGTAGTTTTGACACGATGCTGAGTAGACCGGCTTTGAGTCAGCAACATTCAAGCGGTGGGGCGAATTTTTCGCCATGGTAATCCGCCCAACTTGACTGTCGTCAAGTCTCATAGGCACGTTCACACCAATGAAAACGAGGTCGTGCGACTACGCGAAGTGTTTACGACTAGTCCGCACATTGCGATGTCGCAAAAACCTGCTGAGTGCGCGACTTGTTTTCTCGTTGCGACATCGCAAACGCGCATCAAAATCGCACAAACGATTGCGTGGAACCAACCTGTTGGGGTTTCGCGCCTCGTTTTCTGCCACAAACATTGCAATTGTCACATCATCGCCACAATGGTCAAGTACAAAACCTCAGCCAAGGAGGGAACATATGGTACTTGAAGCTTAAATATTTTCTAGTCCTAACAAGCATAACCTCCAGCAACCTTTCCATGGCGCCTCGTTCCAGCAAGAAAGGCAAGGCCAAGGTTAACGATGACACGGAACCCGAACCTCCGCAGGATCATCCGTACATTGTTTGGATGCGCCAGCAGTAGGCCGAAGGGTTTGAGCGTGGACGAATTCGTCGTGAAGCATGTATTCCGCCATCCTCAGCTCCAGGGCCGTCCCGTGTTGCCGCGCCCGCACCATCTGTCGGAAATGTCAACTTCGGCTCGGAGGGATGAATCGTCGGCGTCCCCGTCAGACTCAGACACGGACCTGGAAGTTGAGAAGGACGACGATGAGGGTGACGGTGGCGTTACGCCTAGCGGGTCCAAGAAGAGAGGTGCGCAGAAATCGTCCAAGAAGGTTGGTCAGAAAGTGCGGAAGCGCACCCCATGGACCATGGAAGAGATGGCTGCATTAGCTGCAGCGAGATGGTACACCAGGGAGGATATCAAGCAGATGCAAGGTAAGCAAGGTGCGCAGTTTTCGAAGAAACTCCGTCAGCATATGCGCAAGGCGTATCCGAACTGGATTCGTAGGAGCGAGGCTATGAAGTAGTGTTGGAAGAGGCTGGAACTGGAATACGAAGACATATGTGAGGCAATCCAGATGTCGGGCGCCGGTAACATGGCGAGGCCCGACCGGTTCACTTTCATGGACGACCTGAAATGTGGAACCGCAGCAGTGAACCCACATGTGGTGGATGGCGGAGGAGCTGGGATGCGGACAGCGGATCCTATGATGACCATACCCCGAGTTGGAGACCTCCCTGCAACTCAAGACCCCAATGGTGAGCTTTGAAGGACATATTGCTATTAACATTGCTGTTTGATAATCCGGTTTAGCAATTTCATTACGACAATCCATTACTAAATTGCAGTCATGACACAAATGCTCAGGCCCAGCCACAGGCCACAATCCCTCCCAAGCACCCCGAGGCACCAACACAACACATGGTGGGAACGCCATGCCAAGGAAGTGTGCCCATGAAACAGCCACCATCCAGGGTGCCTCCATGATCTCTAGCACTATGCGCCAATGCAATGCCTCTGGTGTTGCCAAGATCGACGAGCTTATCAGGATCATCATTGCCGCACTTGGCGCCCAAGTAGCAGCCAACCAAGCGGCCAGCCAGTTCATAAATAACTATGCCCCTGCCCCAGGCCCGGGACATCAGCAAGCCCCAAGTACCATGAACGACACCACCGGTCACCCTTTAGGTGGTCGCGCTGCTGAAGAGGCAGTGTCTGCAGAAGAAGACTGCGAGGATGGACTGGATGTCACCAATGAGTACCTCAACGAGGACGATGAGTAACCCAGCCCGATTCCGAGCACTAGCGGCAGTGACGTTTCTTGCAGGCCTCATGGATAGCCTTTCTGAACCTTTTTCGCCTTTCTTGCCACTCTTCAGAAGTAGAATTGGGAGTAGTCTCCCACACATAGTCCAGCATGCTTTCTCTTGTCCACCACTTGTTCACGTCCCCATTCTGGTCTAGGTCGTCAGTGTCTATGTAGCTCTCCCGTCTGCCATCAATCAGTGTGTGCATGTTATGTAAGATGATTATGCACCCCGTTCCTGCACAAACCCGCCACAAACGACACTCACTACGACGACTAATGAGTCTCCAGCGCTGCTTGAGCTGCCCAAACGAGCGCTCAACAGCCATCCGAGTTGCACTCTGCACGTAGTTGTAATCTTGTTCCCATTCCTTCATTAGCCGCGCCGTGGTCGCATGGAGGGGTGTGAGGCAGTAATCACGTAATGGATATGCGGCATCGCCAACAAGTTGGTAAGGCGAAAGATCCCCATTTGCCGTGCGAGTATACAAGTCGCTCTTGAAGAACACACGGCAGTCATGGGCAGAGCCTGGGAAACCTACCAAATCATCCCAAATAACCCCAGCCGCGTTACATTTCGCCTGCAGCACCACACTGTATGCCTGTTTCCTGTTAAAATACTCTGCCCTATGATCCTCCATTCCCTGAATCAGAATATGAGAGCCATCGACAGCCTCTATCACGTTAGGAACACCTTTTATGTCTCTGAACTCTTTCTCCCAGTCAGCCATTTCCTCTCTAGTAGGAAAACGAACACACGATGACTTGAAATAGCGTGGAAACTCAACTAAAAAGACATCCACTATTGCATGACATAAGGTTCTAGTAATTCCGAAAAAGTAGGACATGTCTAGGAACGTCATTGCGGTGGCGAAATATTTATCGGCACCAAACAACAGATTTCAAGAGGGATGTCATGACGCATCACAATGTTTGCGTAAGCTATTCGCATACCTTCAGCCACTACGCAGAGCACCTTGCGTGAGATACGGAAAAGGTTCGCGAACTCGATATCAGACATGTCGGCAATCTCACAAGCCCACATCTTTACGTTCACGCGTCTTCTCTTGCGAACTCTAATACGCCTTAAGACGGTCGGATTGAAATTGAACCTAGCTCCCGTACGGTCTCGCGGAGGTGGATTTTCTGCTACGAATTGCACCCACTGTTCTGCTCCAGCATTAAGGGCGACGGTGAGACACTCAAAATAGTAGACAATAACTAGTAGGGCGACTAAAGCGAATAATAACGCCACACCATGTGGAGGAGCCATGGCGTTCACTAGACTACAGTACCTACTCTACGTTTATTGGGAAGTAGTAGACAAGTGTGTTCTTTATGCGTTGGTGGTCGCGTGAGTTTGGTGGTGATGAAATTGCAGCTGTGAGGGGTTTGTGTCAGAACATTATAGCTTATGCTTTTGTGTAGGCTATAGTGGGGTATCCCATAGGAGGCACAACCCAATTAGGGTTAGTACTTGTACCCACTTCATTCATAGTTCATTCATTCGCGTTCACTTTTTCACATAGAATCAGAGCAGGTCCCCTCCTAGGGACTGTTCCCAGGGCCCACCGAAGCGCGCCCCGAGGCGCGCGTTCCTTTTTTTTTAGCGACCCTCCGTGTCGCCCCTAGCGGCCCGGTACGCCGCCCTTACCTACGCGGCCCCGCCGCCCTTACCTGCGCGGCCCCGCCGCCCTTACCTACGCGGCCCCGCCGCCCTTACGTCGCGGCCCCGCCGCCCTCACGTCGCGGCCCTGCCGCCCTCACGTCGCGGCCCCGCCGCCCTCACGTCGCGGCCCTGCCGCCCTCACGTCGCGGCCCCGCCGCCCTCACGTTGCGGCCCCGCCGCCCTTACGTCGCGGCCCCGCCGCCCTCACGTCGCGGCCCCGCCGCCCTCACGTCGCGGCCCCACCGCCTCACCTTCGCGGCCTCGCCGCCCTCACCTTCGCTGCCCCGCCGCCCTCACCTTCGCGGCCCCGCCGCCCTTACCTACGCGACCCCGCCGCCCTTACCTACGCGGCCCCGCCGCCCTTACGTCGCGGCCCCGCCGCCCTCACGTAGCGGCCCCGCCGCCTCACCTTCGCGGCCCCGCCGCCCTCACGTAGCGGCCCCGCCGCCTCACCTCCGCGGCCCCGCCACCCTCACCTACGCGGCCCCGCCGCCCTCACCTTCGCGGCCTCGCCGCCCGTGCCTACGCGGCCCCGCCGCCTTCTCCTACGCGGCCCCGCCGCCCTCACGTCACGGCCCCGCCGTCCACACCTTCGCGGCCCCACCGGTTTCCCCTCCTGCCGAGCCGCCCGAGCAGCCGCCCGCCACGCCGCCCGGTACCGGAGCAGCCGAGCCGCCCAGCAGCAGCCGCCGGGCCGCCTGGCCGCCGAGCCGCAGTTCAGCCGAGCCGCCCAGCAGCAGCCGCCGAGCCGCCCGGCCGCCGAGCTGCAGCACAGCCGAGCCGCCCAGCAGCCGTCGCCGAGCCGCCGGACCGCCGAGCCGCAGTACCGCCGAGCCACCCCGCTACCGAGCCGCCCGACCAGCCCTGTCTGGTGAGCACAGCCCCACTGCTACTGCGTGCCCTTCCCCCACTGCTTGCACTGCTAGTCTGTCGTCATGGCTACCCCTAGTGTCCTCGCTTTTGACGCTGAGGGTCGTGCCATTGACTTTGAGGTCTGGGTCGACGACCTGCAGCTGTTTTTACAGTGCGATAGGGCGGACGGTCTTTCTCTCTTTGACCTCACCTCTGGCGCCTCCCCTGCTCCTGCTGCTGATGCTGACCCCACTTTTGGCTCTCAGTGGGCCACCCGCGATGCTGCTGCACGTCTTGCTGTGCGTTGCCACCTGCCTACCACTGAGCGCGCGCACTTTAGTCAGTACAAGAGTGCTCAGACCTTGTACGACGTTGTAGTTGCGCGCTACTCTTCCCCTGCCACTGCTGCACTGAGCCGCCTCATGCTACCGTACCTCTTTCCTGACCTTGCTGCCTTTCCTACAGTCGCTGACCTCGTCACGCACCTCCGCACTTCTGACACTCGCTACCGCGCCGCACTTCCTGCTGAGTTCTGCGCCAAGAACCCCCCCCCCCCATGTACATCGCTCTCTATTACATAGTCACTCGCCTCCCTGACACCCTTCGCGTAGTCAGGGACCACTTCCTCTCAGTCTGTCCCACCACCCTCACTGTCGACCTCCTCGAGAAGGCCCTCCTAGCGACGGAGAAGAGCATAGTCCATGTAGGAGCCTCTCGTGGTGACCCGCGCACCCCCATCTTTGAGGGGTGTTCTCCTTCCCCCCTGCTGCCCTCTGTTGCCTCTGCTGCTGCTGCCGACCTGCTTGGTCTTGAGTCGGTCGGCGCGGCGTCTGCTCCTAGCGGGAGACGCCGCCCTAGGAAGGGCAAGGGGGGCAAGGGCGCGGGTGGAGCTGGCGGGGGCGGTGGAGGTGGCAGTGGCGGTGGCGGAGGGAGTGGGGGTGGCGGTGGGAGTGGTGGTGGGGGTGGTGGTGGTGGTGGCGGCAGCGGAGGCGGCGGCGGTGGCGGCGGAGGCGGTGGGAGCGGAGGCGGCAGTGGTGGCGGAGGTGGAGGCGGCGGTGGCGGAGGAGGTGGAGCCGATTGGGGTAGTGCCCCGCAGCGGAGCGGCTCTGGTGGTGGTCAGCGCCAGCAGCAGCAGCAGCAGCAGCGTTCTCGGGACATCCCCCCGCCTCAGCAGCTACGTGAGTGGTACAGGCAGCGTCAGCGTGGTGGGGGTCTTGGCCCGTGCACCTACGTTCTTCGTTCCGGCGACCGCGCGGGTGAGCAGTGTGGGGGTGCCCACTCCACCCAGCGCTGCTTTGGCCGCCTGATGGACGCTTGGCGTCAGCAGTTCCCCGAGGCTAGTGAGATTCCCCGCTGGGGAGAGCTGTCTAGGGCTGGCGTAGCGATCTTTGATCTTGACTTTGATGCTATCCTTGCTGCCATGTATGTTGTGACTATTAGTGATGAGGGTGACTGTTACCGGTGTTTCCCGCCTGACCCGGGCATTGGTACTGCTGCGCTAGGTGCTTGTGAGGCTACTGCTCTAGGTGCCAGTGCGTCTGCACTCTCAGGTACTGGTGAGGCTGCGCTCTCAGGTACTGCGTCGGCTTCGGCCTCCCTCACCTTCACACTTGACTCAGGGGCTTCTCGCTCCTTCTTTCGAGACCGCACCACACTCACGCCGCTTGATCGGCCGGTTGCAGTCTCCCTGGCTGACCCCTCTGGGGGTCCTGTCCTCGCTCACTTCTCCACTGTCCTCCCGTGTCCGGCTGCCCCCTTGGGCACCCTGTCGGGTCTGTACCTCCCCTCGTTCTCGACGAACTTGGTGAGTGGTGCTGACCTGCAGGATGCGGGGGTTCACCAGTTTACTCCTACGAGTCAGCGAGGGACCCACTGCTCGGACGCCCGCACAGGCCGACACCTAGCCACGTTTTCGCGTCGGCCCAGGTCGAGTCTCTACACCCTGACCACTAAGTCTCCTCCTGTCCTTGCGTCTGGCCAGGTAGCTGCGTCGGGTCAGGTGTTTGCTGCTGCGTCCAGGTCTGGTCTTGAGTCTGCCCCCTGCTCGTGTCGCCTCCTGTCTCACGAGACTCTCTTGTGGCACCACCGTCTTGGCCACCCCTCCTTGCCTCGTCTTCGGGGCATGGCTTCCCGTGTCCTTGTCTCTGGTCTCCCGCGGTCTCTCCCTCCCCTTCCTTCGGAGCCAGGACATTCCTGTGTCCCCTATGTCGAGGGGCGGCTCCGGGCTGCCCCTCACTCCTCCCATTTTCCCCCGACAAAGGCTCCTCTGCAGACGCTTCACATGGACCTGTGGGGCCCGGCCCGCGTCCGTGGACAGGGTCACGAGCGCTACTTCCTGCTGGTGGTTGACGGCTACTCGCGTTACACCACGGTCTTCCCCTTGCGCAGCAAGGGTGATGTCACTGGGGTGTTGATCGACTGGATCCGCGCAGCTCGTCTCCAGCTCAGGAGGAGCT